AAATATTTATTTGTATATAGTCTTAAGTATTATTTTATTTATAAGAGTTTAAAAAACTAAATATGTCTCTTTATGCTATGAAAGAAATAGAGGAAAGGATAGTGGTCAATGAAATTGATGTCACATCCTGGTGCACTAGACTAGATTTAATGGCAATATCAAATAATAAAGGTTCGTGTTTTGTAAAAGACAAATGGAAAACTATTGATATGTTCTAAATAGGATGAGAGAATATAAATAATAATATTTTTATATATTCCAGGAGAAGTTGCTCTCCATAGATTAAATTGGCAAAGAGTTTGGAATTTGCCTCCTACGCTAGAAGGACAAATCGTTCAAGATATAGTGTGGAGACCTGATGGAAAAGTTATAGCCGTAGCTTATACTTCAGGAGAAATCATTTTAATTGATGTTGAAAACAAGGAATTAGTTCATAGCTTTACTGTTGATGGTCAAATAAGTTGTTTAAATTGGTCTCAACAAGCTGATCAAACAAATCAAAATGATACAGCAGAGACGCCAACAAAAGTTCTACAGAAACAATAGTTAGTATAATAAAATTTGATTTAAACATATATTTGCTTACAAGTTTTTATTGAGAAATTAAATCATTATATGTAATAATTTTTTTAAACTCTTTAGAAAATAATAGATGTTTTATGATATCCTTCTGTTACTATTTTACATTAATATAATCTTTTTCAGCATGATCACACCACATTTTTACCAAGATTACCATCACTCTCAACGAGCTATTCAAATAAAAAAGTAGAAATGAGTTCTGATTCAAAATATCTTAAAGACCAGACTACTTTGAACATATTAATAGTTGGTCTTTTAAATGGTTTAGTATACATTAGTGTTTTTGGACTATTTCCTTGTGGAATTATCGACCTTAAAAAAATTACCAAACATGAAAATCCAGTAGTAATTGATGCTAAATTGTCAGAATCATTCGAGTATATGTATGTATCTTATAAAGCAGCTAATAAAGTAAATACTCTAATTCTTAAAACTTCTACACTAAATATTTATTCCAAAGAACTTCATGTATTAGCACTAAAGCATGGTCACATAATTCACTTAATGTACTATATGCAAAATACTATTAATTGTATAGTAGAAGCTTGGGAAACGGCATTATTAGAAATGGATAAAAAGTTAGAAAAATATTCTGCGTGCGTACCAGAAGGTGGTGTTTCAGCAGACTTTTTAGATTTATTGATGTTTGGCACAGCATCAATAGAATTGCAAGCATTCCTTTTGCATGATTTAACAGAGAAAGGACTGAAAAAAATGGGAGCATCTATTGAAATTAGCTATTCTACTATACAAAAATTGGTCTTAAAAAAATTTGAATACTGTTGGACAAGCTTTGGTGTACCACATATCAGATTTAAGAGGAATGGCTAGATTAACTTACATTTATGAGGCTTTAGGATTGAATGAAAATTTAGTTACACAAGCCTTGAAAGACATTGGTTCATTTCTGGTAAAAATTGGTGAAGTTCAGCAGGTTATAGATCACTCCATGAAAAATTACAAGGCATTCTTTCGCTGGCTTTATGTTGTAATTGTTAGATTAATGGATGAAAGAGTGCCTCATGATTTTGCAGAAATGTCTCAACAGGAAATTAAATATATAGCTGAGTTTTTGGATAATATTGATGGTTATGTAGAAAATCCAAACAATAAAGATGAAACAATAAAAGTGCGTCCATTTAATTTGGAGCGACTAGGCCAATATTTAACAGACAACTATTTAACCATTCCTCCTGTTTTTGACAAAAATCCATGGCATGAATTTTTGAAACAAAATTCATGCTTATCAATGCACTCATCTATAATTGAACATCACGAAAATCACTCTTTAATTCAAGAACACAACCAGTTCATAAAGTCAATTCAAAAAGTATTTGAAAAGCCACTTGAATTAATTGGAAGCAACTTTATAAATGAGGGTAATATTAACTTTATTGGATTATCCGACTGTGAAAACCTACTTGTGGATCAAGTCAATATCCCCGAAAAGGCTCTGTTTTATTAGCTTGTATGGACAAATCAGAAAATGATGATGGATTATACATTGTTCAATATGATGTTTCAAGTAAAGAAACAAAAGCAGTGTGTGTCCATTTTAAACCACCATCTTCATTTAGTGATAGTAAATTGCCAAAAAATTACCACCCAATTTAAAGCCCGTAAATATGCAATTCTACTCATCTGAGATTTGTTCAGTTTTATTGCACCAACAAACAGTGAAACAAAACTGCATATTTCTACAATTAAATATACTGATGCTAAAAGATAAATTTGTAAATATTAAAATATCAATAAAGAGACTGGAACGATAATTGTTGAAAAAAATATGCTTGCTTCCTAGATATAATGCTTTTGATATAATAGACGCTTGTAGTATAAGATTGATTGAAAACATGTTATGTAATGACTTTGCAGTATCATCGACTAGAAAAGTTGCAATATTAATATCTCAGACCAAAAAGAAAATAAGAATATATGAAATGGAGGTCGAAGATGATGAAGACGATGAAGATTTGGAATTTTCAAAAGACAGTGATAATAGTTTAATTAACACATCCAAAGTATCTGTAAGCTAAAAAAATAAATAAATTATTAACAATTTAGTGATGATTATTTATTAAAAAAGTTTATATAAAGCCTTTAATACCTATTACTACCCTCTTACTAAAATAAAACACATCAACAATTAAAGCTGGCAACAAAATCCATAAAGGACTTAAAACTAAATAAATAGGAAGATTTAATTTAGGATATTCTAATTTCAAGCATATAGTTATTTGTGCAGCCATTTTCAAGAGTATGGCTGCCATATACCAAATATTTTTACTCAATGAATTTCTTATTCGTTCTGTGCAAGCATTGCATTGCTGTATCATTTGAAATAGTACATATATCAATAGTATTCCATCATAGCACCATGGGGATAAATACTATGAACCAATTCCAATGAGTTCTTGTCTCGAGTCTCAGGCATAAAAGAATTAAAAACACTAGCAATATAAACCAGGTGAATAATGCTCTGTGAAGCACAGCCATCTATAATAAAAGAATAATTTTATTAAAGACGAGTAAATAATTCATTTTTTATATATTCATTATTACATCTACATTTAGGAATTTGATTTCCATATTTTATATATGGTAGTAGTAAAAATTGATTGTATCTTCTAAGGAATATTTTTAAACGGGCAATTCTCTTTCAGATTAAAAGCATGGTCAAATTATCTAGTGTAACTTGCAACTATTTGTGATCATTAATAGAAATTATCTTATCTATGTTACAAAAATTAGTGTGAAAATTGTCAATGAAGATTTTAATTTATTATTTACCTTTAAACCATTGTATATACCCTACAAACATTAGCGTTCTTTCATCTAGGCATCTTACAAAATTTCAAACAATTATGTATTTATCAAACATATATTCTCATGAATTATGTTTTAAAGATAGGGAGCTGAGAACTACATTTCATATTACATATTTTGTATCAATTTTAGTTCATATTTTGCAATAATCAAGTCGAATTACTTAATTTTCAATTTCAAATATACAAATGTCAAAAAGAAAGGACGCCAAAATGTCAAAAACATAACCTAAGTTTTGACACGCTTCTAATTTTTAGATTTGTTTTTAGATATCAATTAACATTAGTGACAAACAACGTGGATCCACGTTAATATTAAATGTTGACTAAATTTTAAAAATTTAATCATGATATGGATAATATTTATTTTAATAACTTGTGTAAAATTTTTGTTTATACCTGCATAGTAAGGATTATAATAGTATAAGTCTTTTAAGCCGGCCTTTTAACCTTCTTACAAATATTGTATATTATAAAGCTATAAGATATCAAGTTATATAATATGTTTATTTTTTAACAAAATTCCTATGCAAATAGCAAATTTTTAGTATTCCAAATATAAAGGAACATGAATTAATAAGACATTGATTTCACAAATTTCTATTAGAATTTATAGACAAATAATTAGAATCTTTTAAATTGTTTTACTATGCTAAATAAAGCATATGCAGTAATTTATAACACTTATTTCAAATTACAAAGTTTGAAATAATTAACAATCAATCTCAATTTGGTGTCAAATCATTATCAATCTCAATACCATTTATCATGGTGCCTAGTATTTAATTTGTCATAATTCAATTACTTCTCTTTTTTACCTTTCTAGTCGTTCGACAGATTTTGAAGTCCATAGGAATTGGTTAGCAATAACACATAGTAAACCAATTTATTTATGGTACTTCGAGAACACCTCAGAATGGACATTAGATTACCCTCCATTTTTTGCATGGTTCGAGTTTATGTTATCGCATATAGCAAAATATTTTGACCCAAACATGCTAAACGTGAAAAATTTAAATTATGCATCTGATATGACCGTGCTTTTCCAAAGATTATCAGTAATGGTAACAGATCTTTTGCTGCTATTTGGAACTCGAGAGTAAATATTTTATAGTAGAGTTAAGTTTAATAACTATTTTTTTTATATGCAATGCTTTATATTGTTTCAGGTGTAGTAATTCATTAGGTAAAAGTAACTCACAGCCTAAAACTTTTCTGGCAGTTTTAATATTGTGCAATGCAGGTTTATTTATGGTTGATCACATACATTTTCAATATAATGGAATGCTATATGGGATACTGCTATTATCAATTTCTTGCATAATGAAGGTAAAAATTAATACTTTTATTTATTTTATTAAAAATTATGAAGAATATACAAATAATTAACTTGAGGCTTTTAATTTCTATTATAGGAACAATATTTGATGTCCGCTTTATGGTTCAGTATTTTATTGAATTTGAAGCACATTTTTGCATATGTGGCTCCAGCTTATGTGGTTTATTTATTAGGCAGTTATTGTCTGCAAGGAAATTTTGATTTGTCTAAAACTGCAAAACGAATATCAAAATTAGTATTGATAGGATTCATTACTTGCACAGTATCTTTTGGTCCGTTCATTAGACAAATTTCTCAAGTAAGTACTATGAAGCGACTAGCTAATTTATTTTTGTTGATGACAAATATAATTATGATTATCAGGTTATGGCGAGACTATTTCCATTTAAACGTGGATTATGCCATGCATATTGGGCCCCAAATTTTTGGGCAATTTATAATGTAGCTGATAAGGCTTCCACTATTACTGGTACGATATTGAAAATTTATGTGGTAATAGTTATTTGGACTTGGATCATTTTCTTCTTTATATAAAATGAATGCAAATTTTGTTACAGCAAAAAAACTTGGATATTCTGTTTCTAATAGTACTGCGACAATGACTGGAGGTTTAGTAGAGGATGTTGTTCACACAACATTGCCAACAATAACACCTTCAATTACATTCTATTTAACATTTATAACTATCGTGCCAGCTTTAATTAAATTATGGAGAATTATCAGATTCAAGTAAGTATGTTTATTGTATAGAAGTAAATGAACTTGCAATGTTTTAACAGTAAAAATATGCACAGTAATTCTTTGCTCCAAAGCATCCGCTTAATTTGTTGGGGTTTTTTTAGAAATCGGTTTGTCAATGTAGATTGACTATAGCAATTTTGTTATTTCTGAGATTTTGGGTTATTTCTTTTCCAATCACTGAATTACTGAATGTATATTTTGTACCTGATTTAAACGCACAAACGCACTGCTGAGTATAGTGAGGGTTTGATATATTGTAGTACACAACATTTAACAAATAATATATAACTTATATTACGATGATATTTACTAAATGATAATTTGAAGAAGAGGTATACATGTAATGTAATAAATTTATATGATTTTTAGCAAAACCCCGATTGTGATATCGCCTCTGCAATTTATTCGATGCTTAGTGATTTGCGGTGCTTGTTCTTTCTTATTCGGATGGCATGTTCATGAAAAAGCTATTTTGATGTTAATTATTCCTATGAGGTAAAATGATTTAATCACATATAGAATAAAATCTTTATATTATAATATTTTAAATATTTATTTCAGTATATCAGCGGTGTTGGAAAAGAAGACGCCAAAATATTTTTAATGTTATCGACAATTGGTCATTATTCGTTGTTTCCTTTATTATTTACAAATGAATTATTGTTGCCGAAAGCATTAATTTTTATTAGTTATTCGGGTATAGCTTTTAAGTTTTTATCTCAATTATTTCCAGAGAGCAACAAAAATCGATTATGTTTACCTTTATTAAATATTTTGGAGAGTATGTACATTTATGGTCTAGGATTTTTATTTATTTATGAGAATTTTTTACATAAAATAATATTTAAAGAAAAATTGCCGTTTTTACCTTTACTATTAACATCTTTATATTGTGCTATGGGGGTGATGTATAGTGTTTTGTGTTTTTATAAATATTTCTTATGTTTAAGTGAAGGTACCAAAGGATTGTATAAAAAGAAAAGAAAATAAACAAATATTTATTGAAATATAGTCTTATTCTCAAGTTTCTACGAAATTATTGAAATCAACCAATTTTTTTCATATACAATTTAAAAATAATAATTATTCGCAAGTTTTAAAGATATGCGCAAAAAAGTTGCGTCGTGTTGAATTCTAAACATTTTAATTAATTCTACCAGCAAAATAATGAGTAAATTAAATTAATATTTACTTCAATTAAACACTTATCTAAGTTTAATTGAATGTATTACTAGGTAATATGTTTGTTTTACCATTCTTCAGCCAAATTTAATATAATTAGAGTTAAATTTTTAGGAATGACGATTTTTATTTTATGAATAACATGAATAATTAAAAAAAAATCATTCTTAGTGCATTGCTTTATTCACTGTTTAAATGCATACAATAATTGTTATGGTTAATGCAGCAACTAGTTAAATTGAATTGAATATCACAAAAACCATATAGAAGATTTAAAGACTTATGTTCACAAAAATATATACTTTTGAAAGATATTCGAAAGCATTGAAATTTAATAACACTAATCTTTTTGACTTAAGAACAAAATGATGCAGCAATTAATACAACATTATTATAAAACTTTTATAGTAAATTATAATATTATATAACTTATCAGAATTTAAATTAAAAATTGAAATACTTAAAACTATTCATTTTAACAAGAGTGAAATATTTATTTCAATGTTATACATAAAGTAAAATAATTTTAGAGAAAATTAAAAACATGCGTGTACCTATGTGTTTACGTAAGAAAAGGAATTTTATATACCCATTTTAATAACGCCTATTTGCTATTATACTTGGATTATTTTTTTTAAAAAACATATATAAATATATATTTAATTAATTCAGCAGGATTAACAAAATCATGTTTACTTTACAACAAACTCGAAAATTGGATTGAAAGATCAAAATTAAGTACTGACCAGAAGCTCTACCGAATAATATGAGAACAAATAATCCTACGCTCTGTAAGTATCTTCATCTTTTCATTCGAAAAATAATATAATTTTATCCTGTGAACTTATATCTTGTGATAAATAATTTGCAATATACCAATTCGGTTATGAAATTAATTCGAAATTAGACAAATTGATTGATGCGTTTATTATTTGGACAGTATTCAGCATATTCTTCCCAAGTGCAACCCACGGCGTTGCAGCACTCGGAGGTTATCGAAGGCGGGACCCTCGGTCCGCCGCCTCCTCTGATGCGGGCTGACCGTCTTGATCGAACCATGCGAAGGGACATCTCGGCACCAATCCAAGGAAAAGCGACTGAAATTCATAGTCACGATTAGTATATTTACGTACTTTTTCTAATTCTTATAATATATCGAAAATTTAATATACGTAATTATATTATATAGAAAATATAAGTAATTACGAATATAATATAATATAAATATCTGCACGTTTCAAGAGTCGAATCATTTCTCATTTCTCCCATGCAGCACAGAGTGGTGGCGTAGACCATGTAAGGACGTCGACAAAATTAGGGTTTGCAAGGTACCCCTTTTTATAAAGGTAACAATTGTTACCGTATCAACCAATCATTGTTTTTTAATTTTCAAACTTACTAACATTAGAATTTATTGTGGAACGTCCAAATTTTTATTTAAAGATTTATTAATATATCAGAAGTTTCACTCAACTTAGCGCTCGTGGTAATTGGCATGAAAATTTATTTACATATGAAATAAAGAGTAACTTAAAACTGATTTAAAAAAAAGATAAAAAATAAATTTATCCTTTTGTATAGGAATAATATACTTAGTTTTGATAACACTGATGATATATTAAAAATTTCAAAAAAATGTAGGTAGAATGTTCCTTTATATGGTTATTTCTATAATCCTAAGTTTATTAATGATTTTGAAACTTACATTCAAAATTTTTGTGAAACGTCCAAATTTTTATTTTAGAATTTATTAATTTAAGTAGTTTCACTTAATTGAACGCCCGCGCTAATTGGCATAAAAATTTAATTAAGTATGAAATGAAGAGTAACCTAAATCTGATATAAAAATATTAGGATTAAGAATTTTATATTTTTGTATAGAAATAATATACTTAGTTTCGATAACAAACACTGGTGATATTTTAAAATATTCAAAAAAAATGTAGGTAGAATGTTCCTTTATATATGGTTATTTCTATTATGGCCCAAATTTAATAATAATTTTATGTAGTTTGTTATATGTATACGTCACATATTGATTTTTAGCCCAAGATGCACTATTTGGTCTATTTTAGAAAAAATCAGCACTAGTCCAGTCATTTAAGCTTAAATTAGGTAAGAATCTCGGAATTCGAGATATCCAGTTGTAAGTTTGTAAATACTCAGTAAATACACACTAAAAGTTGTCTCGTAACCTACATATGGTACATACACTCTACCATATGTATAGTTTTGAGACAACTCTTAGGGTGAATTTACAGAGTATTTACAGCTGGGTATCTCGAATTCCGAGGTGAACTTACCATAATGACTGGACTACACAGTATACAAATCAGATCAGTCTCATGAGGAACCCAATGTCTGCCTATGTCGGTAAAGAAATGTAACGTTCTTAGAACGATACACACACGTACTTTTTTTAAGATATTCCAAAATAATGATGTCTTGAAACAAAAAGATAAAAAACAGACCTATTCTATTTGTTTTGCGGTTGCAACAATTTATTCTACACAATGTTGTTATGTTTTGGGAATCATTCCATTTTTATGAATATGTATTATATTATTAGTTACCTGGAATTTTCTTCTCCCTGTGATGTTCCGGAACTGATCTCCGAGATATTCTATAAATGTCCTTTTCGCATGCCCAGTACATGTGGCGCATCAAATGTTCTCTACACCTGGAATGCGTTTCTTTATGCCAAGCATCGCCCCAATCTTCATCAGATCTACAAATCAGAAATTTTGAATTATTTGTAATAAATATTTTGTGAAATTTAAATAACTGTAAGAAATGTGTTAGTTTATCAAAGTTGCGTTTAGTTGAAAATGCGTTTTATATTCATAAATTTTGATAATTTGATTAATTAAGTAAGTTCACCCTAAGATAGCACCCTACAAGTTATCTCAACATCTACATATGGTACGTTCCATATGTAGGTTTGGAGACAACTTTTAGGGTGCTATTTTAAGGTATTTACATGATTACAACTGGGTATCTCGAATTTCGAGATTCTTACCTAATTTAAGCTTTAATGACTGGACTATATATTTATAATGAAAATGATCTGTTAAGAAATTTTCATGAATACTCTTACCTTTCTCTGAAAATCGTTTCAAGATCTCTGTTGTTAGCGATTGTTTCTGCTAAATCCAGTAAAACGCAGAGCACAGTTACCATTGATACTTGAAGCCACATCTTAAAAAAATTCGTTTCAAAATAAACTTTATTAATATTTAAATCAAAATTAGTAATGAAGAACCTATTGATGATTACGAATTATGTACATTCTCAAATTATTATATGAAAATTTCATAAACAAATTGTTTATTGCACTATCTATAAGCCTTTTTTTCCCAAAATGATGTAGAAAATATTAGAAAAATTTGAAAATTTTAAGTAAATTTATGAACACACGATAGAAAAGTGCATTATGTTTTGCCAGGTAGGAAAATGATAAATTGATAGGTTGCCTCTCAAGAAATATTCGGTTATTAATGATGAATAGATAGATCATAGGACAGAAGATAAATTAGTTGTGATTTCTATTGAAACAATAAATAAAAAAAAGTTTTGTCAGGGAAAATACATAGCAAAGTCAATCGAAAAACAACCGTCTTATATAGAGGATTATTATTGAAAAAAAAACATTATTCTTAAAATAAATTATCGATACTTTGTACTTTTGAAATTTTGGATACAAAAACCGAATCACACACAGGCTTACAGATATATTTACATGCACACATTTAGAAAAATATTGAAATAGTATAATATTTATATACTCGAAACTACACTTTGATTAAAATTGGAATAAAAATATAAAAAATCACTTACCTTAGACTGAATTAAATAATTGTGATGATGTACCGATTGAACCTGCGTACCACAAATTAAGACTGTTAGCTATCAAAGTGTTTATCTCCCATGGATGTTCAATATCCGAGGTCTGATAGTTTAATGAAAGAACTTATACTGTGTATTGTAGGATTGTTAAATCAGACACACAAGGGGTACTTATTATAAGATACTTTGCGCAAGTCAGGTATTACTAGGGGAGACCGGGATTTATAATAAAAAAAATTAAAAAAAATGCTTTTCACAGACCATCGTTACTAATTATAAATTTTCGATTAGTATAACCCACACCACTAATATAATACATATTATTTCACATATATTTTTCAAAATACATACAATAATTTTCAAATAAATATCAATATTAAAATATATACTTTAATGATATATAATTTTCAATTACTAAATCGCAAATCATATAGCCTGTACAGTCTATTGTAATTTTGGAATTCTAAAGTTTATAATATATTAAAAGAATATATTATAAGCAAATCAAATCAAACAATATTACTTATTGTTAAACTTGGGTAGCATTTAATTTCTTCATACAAAAAGCTATTATTT